TCCAGTTTCAGTGAGAGTCGCTGTCTCAAGAGGATGAAGCAGACAGAGCAAGGACCCCTGGCATCCTCCTCTGGCCTCTGTACCACACATGTGCACATAGACTACACACTCACTCACACATGTACACACACACACACACACACACACACACACACACAAATAAATGATAAGAGTAAAATCGTACCCCAGTTTACACATGCCTCTTAAATACAAACCTTGGACTAGAGAGAGAGCTCAGCCTGTATGTTCAGGTGTGAACCGAAGTGCTGAATGCACAAGTGTTCAATTACAAACATTTCCTGACTAAAAAGGTGGTTTGGTTTGGTTTGGTTTGGTTTTGGTTTACTAGTGATGGGGTCTGTAGCCCAGGCTGACCTCAACTACCTCTGTAGCGGAGGATGACCCTAACCTCCTGAGTTCTGTGATTACAGACATGTGACACCATGCATGATTCATGGGACCCAGGACCTTGTGTAGCGCATGCTAGGCAACACGCCACCAGCTGCCTGCAGAGTTCTTGGTGAGTGTTCTCTCCTGTCACTGACCCTCTGGGAGAAAGACACAGACCATTCTACACACGTCCACTAATATCCTGACCGAGCTTCTGCCCAGCGCCTGACTTCCTTTTTTCCCATGGGTTGGGCTTGATACCATCAGCAAGATTGAGTGAGCACTGTGCTTACGAGGCAAAAACAGAGAACTTGCCACTTCCATGTTCCCAAGTCCGGGATGTGAAACCTGAGCTTTGATTAGCTCTCGATGCCAAGTCTGACAATAGCCCATGACGACTGTCAGGCCCTCCTCTGTGGAGCCCTGTTTCCCTAGTAAAACATACTCCCCAGAGGCCTGAGGGTGTGGCTCAGTTAGTAGAATGCTTGCCTAGCATAAACAAACAAATAAAGTCCTGGGTTTGATCCCTAACGCCATGTAAAGTGGAATATTGTGGCGACCACTGGTGACCCCAGCACTTTGGAGGTGAAAGCAGGAGGGTCAGAAGTTCAAGAACATCCTGAACTACCTAGTAAGTTTGAGACTGGCCTAGGCTACTCGCAGCACTGTCCAAAAACAGTTAGAAAAGTTAAAAAAGAAATAATAATTCCACTGGCTTCATATGCAGGTGGTTTAACAGGGATGTCAACGAAAAAGGAGGTTGCATCTCTTTTCAAATAAGTGGCTGGGGGATCAGCAATGGCTCAGCAGGCAGGGTGCTTGTCACAAAACCCGACTCCCCTGAATTCAGTCCCTGGAACTCACATGGTGGAAGAAGAAACTGTCTCCTGCAAGCTGTTCTCTGACCTCCATGTGCATGAGAGTGTGCCCACACACCACAATCACACACCACACACACACGCTAAAATAAATAAATGTGGAAGTAAATGTTTCTTAATTAGTTCTAGCTCTGGAAGAGAACTTGATGTGGGGATGGAGAGACAGATGGAAGCTAGGAGTTGTGGAAGTTCAGTTCCCAGCACCGCATCTGCTTACAACCTCCTGTAACTCCAGTTCTGAGAATCCAGCGCCCTCTTCTGATCTCTGAGGGCATTGCACACATGTGTACAACACCCCCCTCCACATGCATACAAGCAATTAAAAAATAACAAAATATCTGAAAAAAGAATTCAGATTTTTTTGTTTGTGTATATGCAGGATGTATCCTTGAATGTGAGAAAATTTGGGAGTCTAAATCCAAATTTCTTCTGGATTTAATAAACACTGCCAAGTGTTTGTCTCTTCCACTAGTGAGAAGTATGAAAGGAAACCCAGGTGTTTTCACCTAAATTCCCATAGCATGATGCTCAGTGGAGCCTCCATCAAAATGTACACACACACACACACACACACACACACACACACACACACACACACGCACGCGCGCAGCATGGCTCCTCCCACCACTTACCATTGAGTACTGGGGGACAATCCCATCGGCATCACCATGATAGATGTAGACTGCTCCAGCAAAGTCATCCTCCTTAGGTGCACCAACAGCCACATCTGAGGGGAAACACTTAATTAGAAAGGGCACACGGGGTGAGATCAGTGTGGCTTCCTTAACTCCAGTCACCATGTCTGAATTCCCTGGTTTCAGGACTTCTCCACTATTCATTACTCCAACATTTAATCAGGCAAACCGTCTCCTAACATTGAAAAGCTGAGAAGAATTTACTCGAGGAAAGTGTCTCTCCTCATCCTCAGAGGCAAGGACACTGAAGTAATCCATAAAAGTAATACAGATGAAGACAACCCATCCTAACCTGCCTGCCAGAGTGCGCTAGTGTGCGGATGAAATGTCAACTTTATTTTAGGTGAAGGAAGCAGATAAAGTAACATTCATTTCACATGCACACCAACATTATTTCCACAGATGACAGCTCTTGGAACAAAGCCTCAGTCTTCCTTCCCTTTCTCTCTTGTCTTCTAATAAGTCATGTGTCTGCTAATGTGAGGTCAAGGGTCAGGGGTACGTATTCCCATGACCTCAAGATGACAGTCCTCTCACTGAATGAAGCCATCTGTGGCCAATGGTGTGAAGTACTGAAGGATAATCTGGCTTAAGCAAGAGCCACATTCCAACCCTACAGAAGTGGCTCCCAATGTCTGTATACTCTACATACAGTAAGGGAAAGAGGTATTAGAAAGACCAGAGAGAGACGCCAAGAGGCTGTGGCGGGTACCATTGTCCAAGAAGAAACAGGCATTAGGTCCATACACCACCCATTCTTCTGACACACACATACTCAACCAGGCTGACATTATCAGGGAAGAAAATATCTAATTCTCTCCTTAGTCACTTCCCCAAGAACATGACAGAGCATACCAGATGCAGAGACAAGCATTTTGTGATGGGAAGAAGCCCCCAATGGACCAGCCCCAGAGGCCACCGCAAGCACATAGCACAGAGTACGGAGCTCATGGGAATGGAGTGTGCAGAGGTGACATTCTGGTGCCCAGTCCATCTCCAAGAGTTGCCCTTTCTCCCCATGGGAGTTGGTGTGCCTTCAGGGGTAGAAGAGGGAATCCAGTCACAAACAGGGGACAACGTTAGAGCCTGGCAAGCTGCTGCACCTGGAGGGACCCCGTGCCCCTGAGAGGCTCTACTCACCTGGGAAGCCGTCATCATCAAGATCACCCAGGCTGGCAATGCTCTCCCCAAAGTGTGCATTGTAGGCACCATCTCCGGTCAGGGACAACTGTTCCTCAAGGGCTCCCTGGGAAACAGGATGGAGGTGGAGGGAAAGAAGGAGGGGGCCGAAAAGCACAGTGAAAACTCAGAACACCACCCTCTTGGGGCACAACAGTGGACAGGAAACAGCTGGGCAGAACCACAGACCCAGATGTCTTTCCTCATAGCAAAGCCTTCATCCATGCAGAGAGAGTCTACAAATAGCCCGAGATATGTCTTAGGAGAAAGACAATAGCAGGTAGACCCTGGACCGAAGGTCATCTGGCCAAATTCAAACAGGCGAGCCTCCCCTCTCCCTGTCCCCAGTGTCCTTCCTCTCTGCTCTCCTTACAGCCTAACTCTTCCCCAGAAGTGTGGTTTTGTTTTCTTTGAGGCAAGGTCTCACGTTGTAGCTCTGGTTGTTCTCTGTATAGAGAATATCAGGCTGTCCTCAGATTCACAGAGATTCTCCTGCCTCTGCTGTTTGAATGCCAGGACTAAAGGCGTGCGCCGCCACCCCTAGTCCAACGCTGGTTTAAGGTGCAACCGACTAAGAAATGGTCACCTTTGCCCCCTCCCTGACTTCTCATCTGACTTAAACTACCCGGCCCGTTCCCAGGGTTTTCTAAATTGTAAGGAGGGGCTCTCTGGGGGCCTCCTCACCTCAGCACAGATGACCTGACTGTGTTTGTCTAAAAAGAAAATGCTTAGGATGGTCCAGGACCAAGGTCGTAGGTCCAGTTCAGGAAGAGAGGAGATTGGTTCAGGGAGGAAGCCCCTCCCCAGCACAGTGCTGCCCGGCCCGGCCCCCTGTGCAACCTTTGCTCTCTTGAGCCTCCCACCCCAGGAGGTCAATTTGAGATTAACAAGTCTCCTGCCTTCCTCAGGGCTGACCTGAATAAATCTATTTCCTTCCTCAAAGTTCTGACTCTGGATTTTGTAGAGAGGTGAGAGGCAGGAACCTTAGAGTCTGGTAACGAAAGGAGTGCACACTTCTCATTTTTTCCTTCTCTTGTGCCTTTTGGTTGTTTTGCACAGAGTACACGTTAGCGGTCTTGTCAGAGGGTCCTGGTCTCTGCCCAGTGGCACCTGTGGTCAGAGGTGCATCACATGTGGCCCAGCTTTGAGATCTCTGGGCAATGGTGCACATGGCAGCAGAAGCCATCCCAGAATGCCCATGGTCCCCATGAATCACCAGCATACAAATACCAGGACATTGAGACACCTGACATCTGCAGGCTTAAGAATCTTGAAATCCTCCCTGGTGTAGAGCATTTTGGATCTACATACACCCACAGTCCACCACGCCAGGGTCTGTCTTTCATTATGACTAAATTTCTGTTGCTATAAACAGAACTTGAAGCTTGAAAAAATACTTAAAGATCTGATGATTTGATTTATTTAATCGGTGAGACCCCACCCCAAAACACAGAAGGTTGTCCCTTGGTGTCTGGGAGTATTGGTGCCTGGACCCCTAGCATACCAAAACTTCAGATGTCTAAATTCCTTATATAAAACAGTGCACTATTTGCATAGAAACTATAGCTGCCTTCCCGTAGCCTTTAAGCATGTCTAGATTACTTACAATGTTTAATACAATGCAAATGATATGCAAATATGTTTTACATTATGTCATTCAGGGAACAATGGTAAGGAAACAGTCTAAACATGTTCAGTAGGAACAATGGTTTTTATCCCCATGTGTTCAGTCTGTGGCTGGTTAAATCCAAGCATTCTTGGTCACAGATGGCCAGTTCTATAATTCTTCCTGCTAGTGAGATGGGGAAAACCCCAAGTCCCTCTGTGTATATCCACCCCTGGACTGTATGGTTATCTTGTTTAGACCACATGACACCTCCTCCTACTTTATAGAGGAAGAAATGATCAATTTCAAGCTATTTGTTCATCTTGCACATAAGATTTGGCAGGGTTTAGATTCAAGCTCAGGCTACCTACTCTATGATCTCCACACCTCCACAGTGCCATACGATCACTACCCAAGTGGGTCGTGGTGCAACAGAAACAAGACTGCCCCGGTACACAGTGTAGCCACACGGCAGTGAGGTGCGTCAGATGGGGTGCGGCCAGTGTGTGAACACTTGGGGTCTTCTTTCTCATGGGTCCCCTGCCTCTACTGGGTACTGCCCTGCCCTCTTCCCAAGGTCCCATCCATCCTCCTCCACCAGCTGCAGAGGAGGAGGAGGCACCTTTACGCCTGTCTCTCCCCTTTATGATTCTGCAGAAAAGGGACCCTGTGCTTATAGCCCCTGGCCAGTTTATCATCTGGTACCCAGCACGGACTCCGTGCTGAACTAGGTAAGGGTCCTGCGACTTCACCACTCAGCCCACATACGTCTTTCTGTTGGGAGCTCTGCCCAGTCCAATTCACCTTTCCACTCAATTCCTACTCCTTCCTCAAGATTCCTCGCCAACATCCTATCCCTGTCTCTCCAGAAAGATGCACATAAATTCTCAGAGAGGTGGCAGAGCCTAGAGATAAAGCCAGCTTGCTGAGGTCAGATCCCAGCCTCTCTACCTTTTAGCTGTGAGATTTCAGACAAGTGAGTTAACCTTCTGAGCCTTGGTTTATTTCATCTGAAAAATAGAGACCATTGCTACCACGTGTATATCACACTGACATCACTTAGAGAAAGCAGGAAAAGCCACACACAGCACCCAACAGCCTTAAGCTTCTCCCTGGGACGCGCACTGTATATAACTGTCCAATAATGGATCATTAAGCCTTTTCATTCGGGACCCAGGTCTTCATCTCCTCTGGGTAACATGGCCCAATGTGCAATTTACTTCCAGCGGGATCCAGTGGGCTAGTCACTATGACTGGACAGTTGTCCCTCCCAATACCCATCTCCTCATTGACCCACACTGTACTCACATTTCCTTTGTTGAGGTAGACAGTAACCTGCCCTTCATCTCTGATCTCAGAAAACATGGGGGCCCCCACGAGCAGGTCAGAGAGGCCATCCATGTTCAGGTCAACTGCGCACAAGGAGGAGCCGAAGTAAGAGCCCATCTGCAACCAAGTCCAATCACAACAACGTGTTCAGAGGCTGTCCTTCACCCCCAAGGCCCCTCTTCATCAGCACATGTCCCCAGCACCTCAGAAGCTGTGTCAGTTGAGCAAAGAGTGACATGCCCAACTCCTGTGGACTGTCCAGTCAATCAGACACCAAAGCTAGTCATCTTACAGAACCCTTTCCTAGAGCCCGGCCAGGGCAGGTAAAGGGACAGTCCCTCGAGAACGAGACACTATGTTATATATGTGCTCCATATGCCAGACATTTCACAAGGCATAGCAAGGAGGGATATGAAGTCTCAGAACACAAGCAGGTAGGAAAATATGACATGGGGCATGTATCCTCCCCAGCCTCACACAGAGTAAGAGTTGGGGCATGAGCTGGCAGAACAGAAGAACACATAACTCACGTTCTATCAGGTTTGACAGATGGGGAAATAGGACCAGTTTATACTGGATCTTCTTGAATCAGAGTGAAATCAGTACCTGCTGCTTTATTATTCTCTCTCTCTCTCTCTCTCTCTCTCTCTCTCTCTCTCTCTCTCTCTCTCTCTCTCTCTCTCTCTCTCTCTTGTATGCATGTTCATGTATGTGCCTGTTCATATGAGTGCAGGTACATATGTGTGCAAGTACACATGGGCTGGTACATATGCACATCTCCACCTCCACAGTGCTGAGGTTACAAGAGCATGCCACCACCCTGGGCTTTTTCATGAGCAGTCTGAAGATCCAAGGATCACACTCAGGTCCTCATACTTGCACAAGGAGACTCTGTAAATAAGCCCTCTCCCTCGGCCCAGGATCTGTTATTTTACATCCACCATCTTAAACACAAAGACCAAAGACCCAGCCTTTTGCCAGGATGAGACAGGCAGCTCAAGTGTGCTTACAGATGGTGTCTGAGTTGTGTGTCTCAGTCATGAGAGTGAGTGGTGGAGCCCACGGGCCTAGCTGAAGGAGCAGCCCACCCTGCTGTGGCTCACATGACCAGGAGAGCCGGCTCCCAGCACATCAGCTTTTCCATTTCCAAGAGACCATCTACATTTTGACTTTCAGTACCTATTCCAAATGCTGACAATGTGTTCATTTTTTTTAAAAGACCAATTACTATGGGATTGGGGACCTGTAATCCCAGCTACTCAAAGGGCTGATGTAAGAGTACCCCAAATTCAAGGCCAGCTTGGCAAACTTAGTAAGATCCTCCCTCTAAAGTAAAAGTAGGGGCTGGAGAGATGGCTCAGTGGTTAGGAGCCTACACTCTTCTTGCAGAGATCCTGAGTTCTGCTCCCTGCACCCACACTGAGCAGCTCACAAGCGCCTCCAGCTCCAGCTCCAGGGGCATGTGACATCACTGGCTCACATGGGTACTGCACTCACGTGCACATGCCCACACACATGTACATATAGTTTAAAAAAAAAAAAACAACTTTAAGTCAAAGTTACAGAAGAGCTAAGGATATAGCTAAGCAGTAAGAGAGCTTTGCCCAGCAAGTCAGAGGCCCAGGTTAACACTCAGTTCTGTGATAAATAAGTAAATAAGCAACGACTGTGCACGCCCTGAGCATGCAAGCTGTGCTGCCCAAAAGGGGTGTAGGTATGAAACTTCTAACAAAAAGAGAAGACAACATGCAATATTGTTTCAAGTAAATGCTTTCAAATGGAAGGGTCTGGAATTTCCCCTTACTTGTGAGACCTGTTGGCAGCTGACCTTGGGGAGATTGAGAGAGGTGGAGAGAGCTCCAACCAACTTCCTGCAGTTAACACTAGGCCTGGAGGACTTGGGAAGGTTGCTTAGAAACCCAGTCAAGGACAGAAGGGCAGAGCCAAGAGCTGTTCTCTTGGGTTGAGCCCCAGGGGGTGATTGGCTTAACCCAAGCAGACTACTTAGCTTGGTGTCTTCATGGATGTTCAATCTAAAATCCTCCAAGTTTTTTCTATGCAGACATTTCACCCACTGAGGTGAGTCAATGACACTTCAACATGTCAAGGACACACTTTGGACCCAGAGCTCCTTAACTGGTAATCAGAGTGTGTCTACGTCTGTATTTGTCTGAACCACAAACTTAGTAATGATCTTACTAAGTAATGTCGTAAGGTGTCACTTAATAAAGAGCAGACCACTTTTCTTTTATTTTCTTTTTTTGGTCATTGTTTGTGGTTTTCTTTCTTCCTGAAAGGGAGCCAGGATACTAGACAATTTGAACCAAAGTGGAGCCAGAGAAAAGCAGAAGTAAAGTGTGGCTTTCTGAGTTGGAACCTTCTGTTGTGTGTGTAGCCCTGGACAAAAGGGCAAAGCTAGAGACATCCTTTAGAAGCCCAGGGGGTCATGTCCTTCCCCCTCTAAGATAACGGAGAAGCTGAGAACATCTTCTAGCAATAAGCAGATGTCTACGAAGGGACAGGCCTATGTAAAGGTCAGATGGATGATGATGAGCACGTGGTAACTGGAGATGCTGAGAGGGTCAGTGAAGGCCACAGGGCATGGGGTATAGAGGATTTAGGGGTAACTCCAGAGCAGGGCAATGGCTTTGCAGAGAAGAGCCAGAAAGAAATGATGGAGTCCCAGAAGATGCCTCAGGCAATAAAGTACCTACTGTGCAGGCATGAGGACCTGAGTGTGAGCATCTATAATCCTGGTGCTGAGGAAGTTCACAGCCTAGCCAGCCCAACTGAGGGCCTCTCTCAAAACAAAAGGGAGGGGGAGGGAGAGAGAGAGAGAGAGAGAGAGAGAGAGAGAGAGAGAGAGAGAGAGAGAGAGAGGTAGACACCAGACATCAGCCTCTGGCCTCCATAAGCACACATACACATGCATGTACACCACCATGCACACACATGTGTATATCCACATGAACACACACACACACACACACACACACACACACAGAAGGGAGGGAGCATGGGAGAATGGGAGGAAGGAGGGGGAGAATTAGGAAGGTGGCTGTGGAGCTGGGTAAAGCACCTTGGCCCTGCAGTCTCTGCATGGAAGAACCTGACTCACCCTATCACAATGAGGCCATTCAAACAGACGTGTGTCTGTCCTAGAACTCAATGCACTGATTCCTCAGGCAGCTTAGACAAGGTTCTCAAGGGCTGCATGATTTCCCCTCACAGCATCGAGTCTCAAAACATCCCCCAGACCTCTCTCCTTTCGACACAATTGGTCATGGAAGCCCCTCTCCAAACCTGGAGGCTTTGGGCAGAGAAGAGAAGCCTGCAGGCAGATTGACAACGGAAGGACAGGAAACAGCGGGGGCAGGGTCCAGTTCTTGGAGCACTCTGAAACAGTGCTCACACCTTGACTTGTAGGCCTATCACCCACAAGGGACACAACCACCCATTTATCATAAGATAGTCACTTGTTTGGGGGCCCTCTCTGTTTTATCTATCACAACTAGTACATAGCTATTTCTTTTCTAACTTTAGAGTTGCTTAGAAAACTTGTTTTGCAAATTTTTCACTGTTACTTTCCGATGCTAATGTTTTGGGGTTTGGGAAATGTTAAAATAACACATGCCAGCACACTTCCGAGAGCTAAAAGCAAAGCCAAGTTTGTGGGTACCTTTTTTTTTCATGTAAAGGTTATGATCATTATACACTGAGTGTACATATTAAGGTTGTTAAAATTGCAACCATAAGAAAAATATAACTACTATGTGTAAGTGGGATCTTTGGAATTGTGAACACCGTTCACTGTTGGAACAACATGGACTGTTCCCAGACTGATGTGTGGCAAGAACAAGGCCGAGTGGGAATGAAGCGGGACCCAGGGGAAGCGGGCCAGGAAGGAACAGTCATTGTTTTCCCCTTGTCTCAGGGAAACTGTGGGCAAAGCCTCCTGGCAGCTCCCCCTCCCACATTCCATGCATCCTTAGCTTTGTTCCAGAACCCACTAAGGCCTCCAACGGCTTCCATGATCCCCCAACCCTCCTAGCCTCTACCATATCCACTGAGCCACAAAGCTCAGCCACACTTTCCTGATGATCTGAGCCACAAAAACACAGGCAGGAGAGGGAAGCCCTAGAAAAGGATGTGAACGAATCACCGAACCATTCTACTGGCTGAATCTCATGGATTACAGTGGAAACTTCTAGAAAACAGGGAGGGAGCTGAGCGTGGTAGGGCGGCAGATAACCCTTTTCCAAGACAGCCTTCAGAAATGGCTTTGTGGTTGTTTGTTTCTCAACCTTCTAAGAACATTGAGATACAAAGTCATTACCTGTAATAAATCATTACACACACACACACACACACACACACACACACACACACACACACACCTCATAGTGTTTTAAGGAACTTTATAATTTTGTGCTTGACTGCATCCATGGCTACCCTGTGGTACACATAGCTGATGGTTGTGGGTTGAACATCCCTGTACATGAACTAAAGTGCGTTTCATTTGAATTTTCTTTATGTGATAGCAGTTCCCCTGGCAGTGGCATTCAGGGGTCAAGGACATGGGAAGAGGAGGTGGTATCAGGCAGATCAGACAGGGACAATGATCAGTAGCTGATCTGTCTGGGTTGATTTGGATTGTGCGTGCATGAGACAGCTAGAAGAAGACAAAAGTGACGGGAGGGACAGACAGACAGATGGCTCACATCATTTGGATGCAGCACCTGAATTGTGACACCTTTGAAAACAAACCTGTAACTTAGTACAAATGTGTACAAACTCATCCACTACACCCTCAGGATATACAAATTCTCGAAAGGAACCGACTCTCATATGAACCACATCAAGAACTCACCTTTTTTCCTGATGCCTGAAAAATCTTTATTAAGGTCCCTGATCTTCGGTCAGCTCTAAATATATAAACCTATGGAGTGAAAACAAACAGAGCCTCGTCAGGACGGAGCACTGACTAGAGATGCTTGTCGCTGTCTTCCTGTTGTCTCTCACAGGTGTGTGGACACCGGTTAAGGAAAACAGAAGTGCTGACAGAGCTCTCGGCAACTCCAAAACCAAAGTGTCAATCCTGGGGTGGAGAGTGTCTCCCACAGCTCCGGAACCCATGGTTTGTCCACAAAAGGGCCTTGAAGAACTCCTCAACTAGAACTGAGGGGTTCAACTCTCGGGAGATAGGTCGTCTTTTTCTTTAATTTAACTCCTTCAGTCCTGGGAGTTAGAGCTTTAGTGGATGTCACAACCTAAGACAAAGGGGTAAGCACTGGGGATAACCTCTCCAACATGATTCCACATAGTAGTTAGAACTGTGGAATCTGTGTGGATAAACACGGGATTCTTTTGGGGAAATAAGCAAGGAAACATTAAATAAATTCCTTTATGGTGGATTTTTTTTTCAGAGCCCTTAGCACTATGAATTCATTGATGTCTGATTTGTTTTTTTAAGAGATTTATTGATTTTATTTTATGTATATGAGTGTTTTGCCAACATGTATGTATGTGCACCATATTGCATGCCTGGTGCCCACAGAGGTCAGAAGAAGGCATTTGACACACATACACACCCTCCCCTAGAACTGGAGTTACAGATGGCTGTGAGCCACCATGTGGGTGCTGGGAACCAAACCCAGGTCCTCTGCAAGAGCAACCAGTGCTCTTAACCACTGAGCCATCTCTCCAGCCCCTCATCACTACATCTTCAAAAATTATTTCTGTGCCCCCT